GTGTGTGTGTGTGTGTGTGTGTGTGTGTGTGTGTGTGTGTGTGTGTCCTGATCCTTTCCCTCTAGTGTGCCCTCCTCACAGTCATGTTGTTGACTGGATGGATTTTTGGACACTTGGATGCAGTCTAAAACAAAGTGATGATTAATCACTTACACCTGTTAATGTCACTAAAAATTGACCGTATGGAATTAAAGTCAATGTTTTAACAGAAAAAAATATCACAGCAGTCTTCCCTGACACAGGCAGGTTCTCCCCTGTACGAACAGCAGTGCCATTTTGCTGGCGTGCTAAGTGACTAACACCCGTGGTAATGTTCAGACGCTCTGCAGAGGAAACACTGAGGTCAGATCCACCATCATCCACACACAGGCAGAGGCTTTTTTCCTTTCACTCAGGACAAGTAAAAAGCATCACAAACACGGCAGTGACTAGAGGCAGGTGAAGGTGTTACAGATCGATGACAGAAGTATCGTTCTCTGCAATTTTTACTCTTTCCAAAGACTCTGGTCAAATCTCCAGCAGTTTTTGGTCCCCGGCATCAGAAGGTGGCAGTGTTCTGCTGTTCTGTTCAGTTCATAGGCTCCCTAACGCTCGTTTTTGTGCCTCAGCTGAAGCCCTAACTTCATCGAGGACGCCCACGCCATGTTTGTATTCACAGATTGCCAATAATTGTTAGATTTTTAAGAAATTTCTCTGAAAGTGAGGTACTTTTTTTGGTGAAACCACAAAATCTGCATTTTGCGCTAAAACCCAGGTACACTTGTAAAATCTAAAAAATGTGACATAATTGAGAAAGAGCTTTGTAATAAATAGAAATCGTCACCTGTTTTACATGGCAGTTTTTGTAAAGGCAGGAAATGTATGACTTTAGATTTCAAAGGTGTACCTAACAAAGTGGTCTTTGAGCTGTCACTTTTTTGACTTTTCTTCCAAATTAATTTTAGTTCTTTAAAAAAAGTGAGAATAATGAGCCATAATTAGCACCAGTTATTGATCACATGCTATTTTAAATGTATTTTTCTGTGTCGTTTCTGTGGCTATTTAAAAATGTTTGTTACCTTAATCAGTGTATACAGTTCTGTGCATTTAGCTGGTATAAATAAGAAACTAATTTCATTAGTTTCATGTGTCTGAATAGGTATTTTGCTCCCTTAGCAGCTCATTGAAGTGCCTTCTTTTAGCATTCATGTGAAGAATTAAAGGAAGAACTGACGTTAAGTCATTTAAAGGTTAGGGCAGCAGGAAGAACTTTAGTGGTGCTCGGCTTTTATTCTCGAAGGCTCAGAGCTCGAGTGGAGGGTTAAACACCACCTCAGTGTTTGGATGATGGTGGATGAGGGTGCTGTTATAATCCCTCTTTGCTGTGCACAGAGGAGGGTACCTACATCCAACCAAAGCCTATCCAGACTTCAGCAGCAGAGTCCAGACTACTAATTTAAACCTGAAGCTTATGTGCTCTGACATGGGCACAGATCAGATCACAGTCTGTAGGAACCTTCAGACAACATGCGAACTACGACACTATGACAGAGGCACCCTCACCGCAGGGTTTAGCTCTTCGCTGCTCTTTCCCTGCTCATCACACCTCATCACCCGATCACCGATTGCCTCTTTCCTCATATCTATTGTAAGTCACTCTGTCAATCACTCTATAATATCCCTCTTCATACACCTATGCACAGATGTACTGCACCAGCATGAGGGTCACCATCCTCAAACTGTCGGCCTTGGTTTGTGACCGTTTCCTTCATGACTTTCTATTAAATCGAGCTGTTTGACCTTTCTGTCCTGTTCTAATTGAACCAGCTGAGCAGCTCCTGTCCTTCAACAGTCACTCCATCTGAACATCCAACACATCACCTCCATGTTACTTTTCTAATGGGTAATATCTGGAAGGTCTGAGTGTCCGTGTGGTATACATACCATCAAACTCCAAATGTACCAAAAATAAGGAAATCTTAAATGATCCATATTTGAACTTTCCTGCACGAATGCTGTGTGTCATCATCCCAGAAAGCTTTTCTTTGTGTTTTTTAGGCCCAGGAATCAGGACTAAATTCTGAACATGTGGGTTCATCTGTGTTTAGTTCCATATGTGCAGGGAGCAGTGCATCTTTATGGCAGGAGAAGCTGCACACAGTAAGCTCTTTGATTTTCTCTTGGAACGGGAGGCACTTCAGTCAATTTTAGAACGAGAAGGGCTTCAAGGCACTAAGACGCTAATTATAGATATATCTATGAAATTTGTTAAATATTACTGCTTTCCTTCTTGGGGTCATAAATCACATGAAATGATCCCATGCACTCCAAGATCAAAGCTTTAAACAAATGAAAACGGAGGATGGAATTTATGAGATCTTTTTTTTTTAGAGATCATCAGCTATATCTCATTTTTTTTCTTAATTTGTTTTTCTTTTCTTCTTTTTTAGGAGATTTGTTCCCTCCGACAGTTTAGCTCCATCATGCACCAAATTCTGTCTTTAGCGCGACAATAATGAGAACACACATCATCATCATCATCATCCTCCACCTCCCCAGGTCCCTCCCAACTGCAAGCAATTTAATACTGACGTCATGCATTGAATATACGTAGCTATACCATAGCTAATTAGGCCATAATGCTTTAGTATTTTGACATGCCATAATCTTCAAAAGAAGAAGAGTTCCTGTTCCCTTAAACATTCAACACTTAAATGCTCTGAAACAACTGAAATGATAAGAATAAGCAGCCAGTGCACTTTTGGTGAAAACAAATGAGAGAAAAAATCCAGGAGCGGGTGATGGAGCTCGACGCACAGAAGAATGTAGAAATAAAATGAGGTAACGTCTTGTGCATGCCGATATAAGAGAGAAGAGAGTCTCCACATGCTTCTATATAAAGGAGTGTTGCATGGCATCATACAGGGAACCTCCAGCCGACCCATAGCAGCAGCAGCGATGCACGTAATCCTTCACAAGGCTCGGCACGCTTCCTGTTTATCTCTGATAAGGTGCCTGAAAAGCCGGGGTCTACATCCGGCGTCGCATTTTCCAAACTTTCCCTGGATGTGCCGCAGAAAGACACACCTGAAATAATCCACGCAGAAAGCGTTTCTTCAGGGAGGAAATCGTTCTTCGAATCTCAGTTGGGCTTTAATTATTTTTTTCTGTTCCTTTTTTTTCCTGAAAGTTCGGTCTGTTGCACAAAACTTGGCAGGTGTCGGGAAGACATTTGATTCATTATTGTACAATTAGTCATTTCTACTATTAATTTCACAATATATGCCTTGCATATATGTCATTGTCTTAGCTTGCTTTTGATACTTTCTGAATCTTTTCTGTTACTTTTAAACCTACATTTGATCCATTTTTTTCTGTGGCGTAATATCTCTTTGTCAAACAGTGCAGCACAGATAAAAGTTGTATTGCTTTGTTCTAAAGTTTTTCTTTTAATTCATCCTAAATTAAATTGTAATTATGAAAGGATTCTAAGAGGATATTACTGTAATAACTCTGATAAAGGTGCACTCCATCAGGTGAGTGTTTCCCTTCCAAAAGGATGCGTTTTCTTTTTACACTGAGCTGGAAGAATGGTTAAAAGTGATATAAAACAGGAAGAAGAAATACTCTTACTTTTCCATCTCTAGTTTGGGACAAAACACTGCATTTCCCAGGATGCAATGTGGGTATCTGTTTTGCAGCCTTTTCATATCTTTAAAGTCCACAGGTCCAGTTTTTACCACAAAATTTAGTGTAGATAAACTGACAAGTTGAGACATTTAAACTAACTTCTGAGACTGTATATAAAAAATGGATGTGGCCAGTGTGACGATGGCACGCTTTGTTTTGTGAAGCCTCGTTTGAAGCCAGTTTGGAATCTGAACATGAAGCATGAGATCTGGGATGAATGAGGAACCGAGGGACATGCTCAGACAGTCACGAGGAAGCTCTGTTCTAGCTCCGCCCCTCTTTTATCGTCCCATATGACTCGAACAGGACCGTAATTTCCAAAGTGTTTTAATCAGTAAGACGTGAAACTAGCAACTGAGAGCATAAACTCATCAGGAAAATATTGCTGAACTGAGAAGTCAGGTAAGCAGTAGGCTCATTTTCTCATAGACTTCTCAAAGAGGGGTCATCCGCTGCAGAAGAAGGAATGTAGGTTTAAGCCACCTCAGCACTAGCTTCACACTTTATACCTTTCATCCATATTTTTATATACAGTCTATGGAAATCCTTGACCAAAAGTAAAATTAGCAAAGCTTCCATTTAATGTTTAGACCATTAGAAAATCGAAGGGTGCAAGTTACTAAACTTTGTCAATAATTTCTCAAATGTTTCCCCGAACCTGCAGATTTTTGTACTATTGCCAAACAAATGTTTTTCTCTCTTTTTTTTTTTTTTTTTTAATAATTTGACCACATGTGCATTAAAGTCTCCACAAATGTCTGAATGAATCAATGCAAAGATGAGAATAAAATGCACCAATGGATATAAAGCATCCAGATATTTCTACAATATTTACAGCGGTGGTCGCATGCCGCCTCACACGTCAGTGAGCAGCTTGCCCTTGTTAACACAGTTCTGGCTGGGAGCTGTGCAGTTGGCAGTTCTAAGGTTAGCTTCCCTGAAGTTGTCAATGCTGTTGTTTAAGTCCTCGTCTATCTCCATGTACTCCGACTTGCTGACCACTGAGGAGCTGCGGCGACTCGAGTTGGTGTCTGACGCCAAGTTCTGATTGCTGACGTTGAGCAGCTGGGCCTGCTCCTCACCCTCCGTCTCCCGGTGGTAAAAGTAGTTGAAGTTGGACACGATGACTGGCACCGGCAGCGCGATGGTTAACACTCCGGCTATGGCGCAAAGCGAGCCGACAATCTTCCCTCCGATGGTCACAGGGTACATGTCCCCATAGCCGACTGTTGTCATCGACACCACAGCCCACCAAAAAGCATCTGGGATGCTGGAGAAGAACGAGTCCTTCTCCTCAGCCTCCGCAAAGTAGACAGCGCTGGAAAACAAAATCACGCCAATGAAGAGGAAGAAAATGAGCAAGCCCAGCTCCCGCATGCTGGCCTTTAGAGTTTGCCCCAGAATTTGGAGTCCCTTGGAGTGTCGGGACAATTTAAAGATCCTGAACACCCTCACCAGACGGATTACCCTGAGAATGGCCAAAGATGTGGCCTGCTCCCCACCACCCTTACCCTCCCTGTTGCCTTGGTCGTCGGCCAGCTCTGTGCCAAGAGTGATGAAATACGGGATTATAGCCACAATATCGATAGAGTTCATCATGTTTTTGAAGAACGCTGCCTTGCTGGGGCAGGCAAAGAACCGAACTATCAACTCAAAGGAAAACCAGATGATGCAGAGCGTCTCCACCACAAAGAAAGGGTCTGTGAGGACGCTTGCTTTGTAGTACATGGTGGTGTTGCCGACCATGCGAATCCGGTCGTTGGGATCCTCCTTCAGCTCTGGTAATGTCTCCAAGCAAAAAATTACTATTGAAATAAGAATGACCATCACCGAGACAATGGCGATACCCCGAGCTGGCCCCGAGCTCTCTGGGTGCTCGAAGAGGAGCCAGATCTGCCGCTGGAACTCGTTCTCAGGCAAAGGTCGCTCTTCCTCCCGAATAAACCCCTCATCCTCCCGAAACTTCTCCATTGCCTCAGCACCGAGTTCATAAAACTTTATCTCCTCTGAGAACATATCCAGCGGTACGTTGACCGGCCTCCTCAGCCGTCCTCCTGACTGGTAATAGTACAAGATGGCGTCAAAACTCGGGCGATTCCGGTCAAAGAAGTACTCGTTTCGAAGGGGGTCAAAGTAGCGCATCCTCTTCTTAGGGTTCCCCAGTAGGGTTTCCGGGAACTGGGCGAGGGTTTTCAGCTGGGTCTCGAAGCGCAGCCCTGAGATGTTGATAACCACCCGCTCACAGCAGTCATGGTTGTCGTGGTCATCATCAGGCGGGTAGGGGTCCTGCGGGTGACCCGGCAGGGTGGAAGTCTCGTCCATGTTTTCTGTGGACACCACAGTCATCCTTCCTGGCGGGTGGAGGAGAGAAAGAGGAAGTTTAGGTGTAGAGGAGAGAAGGAGGCGGTAAGCTGGAGTGGAGAAGCTCCTACTGCGGCTAGGAGCAGTGGAGAACCTCCCTCTCCATCATCATCATCATCCTCAGCACTATCGCCATCACATCTCTTTTTTCTCACCTGAAAGATAGAAAAAATGACATGCCGTCACTCAAACATGGTTTCATTTCACCACAGACATGTTTCATTGGCTGGAGAGCTTCCTGTTGTTGAGAGGGAAGAAAAAAAAATCCTGCAGCACCTCCAGAAGCCGCGCTGCATCTGCTGTAATTTTACCGCATACATCAGTACTCGAGTTTGCAGCCCCACTGCGCACATCACTCAACCTTCAGCCACGAAAAGCTTTTCACCTTCACACCAACACACAGTTTCAACCCGAATCCAAGTGATGAAGATGACACATAAAACCCACCTGAGCAGAGCTGGAGAGCAGCAGATGGAGATCCTGTGCACCTTCCCCAGCCACCCGCCACAACCTGGGGTTTAATATCGCTTTACAGTAGCTCTGAAATATTAATAGACTATGTTGTCTTGGTCAACATCCGTATCCTCTTGGTGTAGGTTTTCAGCGTCGATTGGAGAAGCCCGCAGAGAGAGGAGGAGGAGGAGAAAGAAGAGAAGGAGTAGGCTTCAGACAGCAAAAATCCTGACTGACAATTTCTTAAAATCATGCTGGAAAAAAGATAGAACTCCCAAGAAGAGCTGGCTCTCAGTCTGAAGGGGAGGACTGGGAGGACTTGGCACTGCAGCAGCATCCGCACTCAGAGACTCTCGTGATTTTCTCTGCGGTAAAAACGGTTTTTAAAAAAACCCCGAGGCTTTGAAGGAAAACCGGCTCAGGAGAGAGTCCGCGTCCGGGAATTTGGAAGCATATTGCAGGATTTCATGAGGAGAAAGACAGAGAGAGGGAGAGGGAGAAAATAAGTGAGCGACAGAGGGAGGGAGGGGAGTGAGGAAGAGGAGGAGGGGGGGTTCGACGCAGTGCAGACAGACTGTAAAAGCCAGCAGGTGCTCCGGTCCTGAATGTGCGCACAAACAGCGGAGAGTCGTGCAGCAGGTCGAGCTGAGCTGCTCGGCTCCTGTCCGTCAAGTTCCGCTAAAATCCACATGAAGGATCCGCGGACACGCGCCCCACAACGGCAGGAACGAGAGCGAAAGAAGCGCACTGCATCATGGGTTATGTAACCAGTTCGACGTGTTTGTGCTGCAGGTGTCTCACAGCGAGCAGGTCTCAGGTTTGACTGCAGGAATCTGCAGAGGATCAAACTGGCCTCTGTAATTGGCTGCTGAGCAGTTTGCGACAGTCAGACCTGCATGCTGGTGTAAATACCTCCGTGTTGCTATGGAGACAGAGAAAAATCAGCAGACTTCATCTGCTCTGACTGTGTAACAGAGAAAAATCAAGAATAAAAAAAACAACTTTATTTAAACAGGCAGAGAGCCTCATACATGAGAAGAAATATAATTATCACCATCAGGTATGGAAGCTCATTAATGCCAAGAAAAGAAACTCACCAACAAAGTGGAATGAATTACAAAAACAAAATCCAGGGGGGAAAAAAGTAAAAGCATCCTGAATTTTATTTCAAAGATCGAAAATACAAAAGAATTTATTCATCATATATTTACAGTCAACATCTAAATTACTTGAAACAAACTGTTCTGGCAGCTAAAATGACAGAAACCCTCAAAAATATTTAGCTTACAGAAAACAATGGAAAACTTGCCAATGATCAACTTAAAGGCTATTATGTTAAAAACTAAGAGTCAGATTAATAAAATAATTTGACTATTAAAATATGTTAACCCTCTGGGGTCGCTGGGTCGCCGTCAAAATCACATGACCAATTTAAGACGACACAGCTACAAGATGCAGTAAGTCAGAGTCTCCATTTCAACTTGGGTCGAAAGTGCAGACTTCAAACTACATACCAGTTTTTGAATTGTGTCGATGGGCCACGTAAAACCAGAGTTGTGATAAAAAAAATACACACGATGTGTAAACAGTGGCGTTTACAGCGGGAAGGACTGTAAAAACGCCGTTTTCTACAGACAGCGCTAGCAAACCCTCTCCGCTTGCGAGTGAAAAGAAAAAAAAAAAACACCCCTTCCCTCTTGGTGTTAGATTTTACCATGTCAGTCAATCAAAAAAATGATATGGCAAACATGTGACATTTGGTTGTTTAGGGAGAAGGGGAAGTTTTTAGGAGTGACACCCGCGACAGAAAGCAGGCGAGCGAAAGACAGAGAGAGCTAGTATTCATATGTGAGACATTAGTGACGTTTAGCGTGTTTGGAGGCTATAGTTAGTTTGTTGTGTAGTTATTGTTTTGTATTGTGTGTCAGTTAGACTGCTGAATTTAATATTTGCTCTAAAAAAAGCCGTCAAAGGCAGATTCCAGTGTAAATGCTGTTCCCACATGGAAAACTGGACTGATGCACCTCCTGCTCTCAGACCTGCAGGGTTTAGGCCTGTGGTGTTCTCCTCTGTCTTATACTGAACACAAACTACATTTTTTGGACTGGCACAAATAATTTGTGTGCCTTCTTATTTGATGCAGCACACCTGATTGTTCTGTAAATAGATTTAAATGGTTATATAAAAAATGCCTGAGGCCTTGGCTGCATTTTTAGGTAAATAGTACCATATAACTTTGTTGTTTGCAAAACTTGTGCATAATTTTTAGAAATGTACAATTTCTATTTGCATTTCAAGTTATGAAAATGATTCGTTAAACATATTTGTAGATTTTACAGTAAAAAATGTAACTTTTTTCTACTCAGATTTTGAATTTTTTGTCTGAATTTAGATCAACTGTGCTAATAATATTATGCCAAAATGAAAAAATAACTAAAATTTCAGATATTTGAGGTTGTGCTGAAAATAATGATACCAAACAAGGCAAGAAAAACATATTTTAAAGGTGAAATATAGAGGCAAAATAGTCAAAAACGGCCAATTATACCCTGAGACCCCAGAGGGTTAATGACTCATACAAATATATGACTAATTGTTTATTTAAAGTAAACTTTAAACTACATATGCTGTTTCGAGGATTTCATTTTTGTGCAATTTTGCATGTTTTTGTTGTTTTTGTTTTTTGTTTTTTACAGCGCATTGTGTTCTGCAACCTGTTTGGCTGTAGACCATTGTCAATCAATCGCATACCGTGTCTCCTGTACAGTACAGAATGTGTTCAGCTTGTCAAATTTACATAAATCTTAAATCACTAGCAGTATGACTCTAAAGTACTGTACTGTATGTTTGTAAGTTTTGTCCCCAACAAACACAACAATGTCAACGGAACGTTTTGCACCGTCAAAGGCACCTGTGGGTGACTTTGGTTTCAATCTATAATACTGGACTTATTTTTCTACAAAGGTTTGAACTTTGAGAGTGTGTAAACAAGAGAGAAAAGTGTGAAAATGTTCATGCCTGTCTGAGAAAAGTGTATAAAATGTGTAGTGAGGGGTTTTACAGCCTTAAAACATCTATAATGGCTACTTCGCAGATTTCACCTATCGCGGGTTATATTTGGAACGTAACTCTCGTGATAACCGAGGGACCACTGTAATTGAAAAAAAAAACAGTTTTTAAATATTTGAATTTGAATATTTGTTGTTGTTTTAGTTAAAAAAGTTTATTGATAAACATCAGAATGTCCACCAAATCTTTACTCTTCTGCGTCTTCACAGATATTAATCTTCTTTTTAATAATTAAATTTCATCATCATTTTTATAAAAAATACTGCTCCTGCTATAAGGACTGATCTGTGTGACGAATGCAATGAGGTGATAGTGAGATAGAGGATTTAGAAAAAAGCCCCCAACCTGCAGCCTGAATCGCTCTGAGGTTTAATTTGACTTTATTGAGTTCTTAGCCTCGGTACTGAGTCTGAGTAATCGCACCTGGATCATCGGAGAGGTCAGCTCAGTGGGCTGAGTCTAAGCCAGCTGGTGTGACTTTAAAATTAGAGTCTAAAAAAGATAAAATAAGAAATCTTCTGTGTGCTGTGGATTAACAAGCTGCCTCTAATTTAGATCAATGAGAAGCTTTAAATGGGATGTATGAATCAGAGGAAATCTGCAGGTGTAAATATGTCTATAAATAAATCCTGTTAGTTCATCTCCAAACCTTCTGACTTTGCTCTAAATTGATATTTTTAACTCATAAATATATAGTGCCAGCTTTAGACACACTGATTCTTTCAATAATTTGTTAACATTTTCAACCCACAGTTTCTGCTTTGCAACTTGACTCGGCTCCAGCTCCACCTTTTTAGGCATTTTCATAAAAGATAAAAGGACAACCTCACTAATTGCTTTGAAATGTGAAACTAACGCTGAAGTACTTTAACCTGCATTCTTTTTGATGTGCACCAGGGGGCGAAGGTAAACAGAAGTTTAATTGTTTTATAGTTCATCAGAAAATGAGCTTTGTGCTCATGGCGTTATTTTTGTGCCACTATTCTGAGCGCACGTAAAAAAAATTTGCAGGTGCAAGTGTTGCATTTTGAGGAGAAATTTATTTTGAGCAAAGAAAAGCTGAATTTGAGTGAACAAAATTCATTGCTGCGTGCAAAAACTGTATTTCAGTGTTTGCTATTATCCACACATCCACACACACACACACACACAACAGCAGCCCCTCTCGCTCAGTTTTTGCATTTGCACTTGCTTGCAATGTGTTGCTTGCGCTCTCAACATTTCTGCCCATGCGCGTTCAACTCTTTCTGTACACCGTTATATTTGTGCCACAAAACCAGCCAATCACAAACTTGGATGCAAAACACATCTGATTGGCTGTTTTGGTCTCCAATCAGCTCAAAATGATGAAATGCAATATCCCAGAATCCATGAAAATATCTTAAAAGTTTATTTTGTGACCCAGAAAGTAATATTTCAAACTCCGCCACTCTGTGTTCCTCCGCCACTGCCTCGTTTGAGTTTTGGACGAAATGGATTCTGGCATTTGAAATGCATTTCGTCATTTCGAGCTGATTGGACCAAAACAGCCAATCAGATTTGTTTTGCATCCAAGTCTGTGATCGGCTGGTTTTGTGGCACATGTATAACGGTGTACAGAAAGAGTTGAGCACGCACGGGCAGAAATGTTGAGAGCGCAAGCAACACATTGCGAGCAAGTGCAAATGCAAAAACTGAGCGAGAGGGGCTGCTATTGTGTGTGTATATGAATAATAGCAAACACTGAAATACATTTTTTGCATGCAACAATGAATTTTGTTCACTCAAATTCAGCTTTTCTTCGCTCAAAATAAATTTCTCCTCAAAATGCAACACTTGCACCTGCAAAATTTTTTTACGTGCGCTCAGAATAGTGGCACAAAAATAACGCCATATGTGCTCAGCTAATCAGTTTATGGTCTTATTGTGGAAATGATGGTCCTGTTACAGTCAAAAGAGACCAGGAAAGAGAGGATTTAAGGCAGGGATAGTCACGTTGCTGTGTGAGTCTGCAATGTGGTTTGGTTTCTGCACCTCATTCCTTATGTCCGCATTTCAGAGACTAAGATGAAAGTGAAAGTGATGATCTTGAGGCTTCAAATGCTCACTAATATCATAGAGAAAAAGAAAAATGCTCACAATATTTAATTTAATGCTCGTCTGTTTTCAGATTCTAATGTCAACATGTTTTCCCTCTTAGATTTCATGTCCCTGAGCACAATTTCTCATGTCTGATGATTCGTGTCCACGAACATAAAGATTTTTCAGCTGCTGGGACCAGACTGTGTAATTCAGGCAGGCAGTGTGTATGACAAGTGTTTCCAAAATCCCAGGAGACAGAATTCAGCACCACGGACAGCTCCACCTCTCCAAACATCCTCAAACTATTTTCCTCTTTTTTTGTATTCAGTCCCTTAAAAAAATATATGTTGTGTAGTTTCAGCAGCAGTCTCAGTCCTGATGGA